TGACGAACGTCAGTAATGGGAACCAAGTTAATTATCGTTAAGTTACTTTAAAATAATGGATTGGAAACGTTGTTTGGTTTTTAATGATGAACCGAATGATATATGTATTTTCATAATGTCTTGGCAAAGCAAGAATAGCTGACTAAGAAATAGGTTTAAAATACAGGTATTTCAATGAAATGCAGGAAAAGCAAAATTGGCGTGACAGAAAGAGCCAATTACCACTTACTGCGGTCAATGAAAATATGCAAGGCGCTCCTCAATGATATAATCTACCAGCTGAAATTGTGCAAGATTTATATTTCCATTGTCTGTTACATGATGTGGAATGAAATTTCGTCATTCCTATAAATTTGGGTATGAAAACAAACCCATTTCGGTTTTTTGCCATCTTAAGACTCATTTTAGTTTTTCAAAAAGTCAAAAAGAAGCCTTAAGATTGACTTTTTTAATTGCAAGGGGTCTAAAGTTAATTATTTCATAATTTGATTTTCGAAGATTTCTGAAAGCAAAGACTTTTATCTTTAACATTTTTATACCAATTCTACGAAAGAAGTGTATTCTTCCCATATAAAATATATGGAAGATTTCAAAGCGTTTCGGGTCTCGTTATTTTTGATATTCTTCACTTTTTTGGAGTTAGGGGCAGCGAGAAAATTCTGTATATTTTTACACTTGCACTTAATTGTACTGTAATGGGCTACAAAACTGCATACTCAGTATTTTTATAATCTAAATTAAAAGTTCGAAATTTTGATGAAACTTTGTCGAATTTTCCTAACTTTTGTACAAAGTTTGAACTTTTGACTTACACTGGTTTTGTAAGATAACGAGCTACACTTTCATAAACAAATCATAAATATTAAATAGGCGAAAGGAAAATAGCCAAAAAATTATAAAATGCCTCATCCCTGTTTATATTTTCGCCACTGTATGTATGCATAATAAACGAAAGCGACCCCTAGTAGGAAAACTTTAATTTTAATGTGTTGGTGTTGGTTGATTTTTCCGACAGGGTGGTAAGATGATTTATTTTGGAACGAATTTCCGTCATCCCTTGTCAAGTTTGGTTTGCAGACAAACCGGTTTCGGCGTTGTGCCATCTTCAGTGTCATTTTTCGTTTAATTTTAATATTTTTTTAGTGTTGGCCGGAAACTGGGCTCGAAAATCCAAGCCGTGCAGAATGGTAGCGCGTACTGCTAACCACTAATAAAATCCTTTACTTAACTTTTTAAGGAATGATTACGAAATTTTTTATTTATTTCTATTTCGCTCACGTTTCTTCACCAGTTACAATGGCGCAGTGAGCAGAGCAATAGCATGCCATTCGAGAGGTCCGACTTCGAATCTCGGGCAACGGGATTTGATCCTTGATTTCATTTAATTTAAATATTTTATTTTAGAACTAAAATGTTTCTAGCTTAATTTATTTGTTTGAAAATTATCTTTTTATACCCGAGCGCATTTGTGCACAAAGATATTATAACTTTGTTCACATAATGGTTATTTGTAACTGGCAAAACGATTCGAGATAGATATAGACAATTGTATACATGAATGATCAGAATGAAAAGAGAAATCGATTAAGCGGTGACTGCCTGTCCGTCCGTCCGTCTGTGCACACGATAACTCGAGTAAAAATTGAGATATCGTAACGAAACTTGATGTGTAATTCTTTTTAGCTTAGGGAAAAGTCGGACAATAACCACGCCTACCTCCCATATAACGGAAATTTCCCAATTTCCCAGAAACATGACAACGGATATATTTTAGTAACTACTGAAGATCATTCACTCAAAATTGATACTTACAATCGTTTTTATACGAAAAATAAGAATGATTACATATGTATATCTTGGTAACCGCTCCATCAATTTCTCCCAAACTTGGCACGTTGGTCCGACATACCTTGGTACGACATACCAAACGACTGAAAATTTGAAAAATCGGACAATAACCACGTCCACATCCCATATAACGGTCATTTAGAGAAATACGAAATCTTCGATAAATCAGTAAACTAATTTATTCAAAATTTAAGTTTGCAATAATTATTTAGCAAAAAATACGTTCAAAATACAATTTTATAATATGGGCCACATATGTGTATCTCGGTAACCGTTCGATCAATTTTTACCAAACTCGGTATGATTATTGTGCATCATACATAAAAGCAAAACGTTGAAAATTGTTGAAATCTGAAATAAATCAGAAATGCTTTAAACTTCGATATTTCGAAATTTAAGGAGGCTAATTTTCTCAAAATTGATACTAGCAACAATCCCTTGAAAAGAAGTAACATTATTATGGAACTTTGGAAAAGGGGCTTGATACCGCCCACATATAACTATATAAGTTTGTGTCTTTAAGTCTAACTGAACATTCTATCGAAATTTTTAGAAATAAGGGTAGAACTACTCTACTTACCATGTAGCAGTAGTTTTCGGAAAGGTGAAAAACTATATTTAGTACTTGCGCCGGGTATTTCATATGTTTTTAATTTTTTAATTTAGCTCTCGTTTGATTTTAAGATTTTATTGTTTTAAAGATATTTTTTTTAATTTCATTTAGTTTTTAGAAATTTTGTTTTATTTTTTTCAGCCTTTTCTGTTTTTAATCTAGTTTTCTATAATTTTTAGTTTAAAAGAAAATTTTTTCCCCGTTTAGTTTTTAGAAAAGTTATTGCTAAAAGACAAACATAATAACGCAGAAGATAATGCTCTTTCAATTAGTCTTTCGACAGAAAAGCGCTTTCAAAATAACTGCCACAATTGACAATTGTAATACGAAAGATTTTTGTCTATCGAAAAACTGGGGTGAGTTGAAAACAAATGCCTGAATTGGCCTGTTAGCGGTATTGTTTGTCTTCTAGCAGTTTCTAAAAATTAAATTGAACTGAAACTTTCTCCTCCAAAACAATCAAATCAGAAAAGTAAAAGAGAATTAAATGAAAAAAGTTTAGGAAAAAAAATTAAACGAATTTAAAAAAAAACAAGTAAGAGCAGCGCTGTCTTCGGCTATGCCGAAGGCTTCATACCTTTCATGAACATCTGCAAATTTTACTTTGACAGATTACTGCTTTTGAATACATCTGCATACATCGATAGAGGAGTTACATACTTATATAAAAAATCGCATCTAAACAATCAGAGGTATGGAAGATATACTTTATATGGCACCAATCTAAGTGATTTTCACTGCTATGTGATCGGTATGTAAACCGGTAACACAATTTATTGGGTTTAGTTTCCTACATAAAGAAGATATATCGCAAAAACTGGTATCTGAACAATCAGTGGTATAGGAGATAAAGCTTATACAGCATAGATTTTGACGATTTTCTCAGTAGACTTTGTATTATTATTTATAAAATATCTTACGAAATTTATCGGTTTTAGCTGTTCAAATAAAGGAGTTTTACAGTAAAATCCCATATCTGAACAATCAGATGTATGGAAGATATATGTTGTAGTCATCCGATCCTTGTTATTTTCACTGTAAGTATTCTGTTAATAATGAGTAAAAATGGTGCGAAATTTCATGTTCCTAGCTGCATAAATGGAGGAGTTATGATAAAAGACCTCATATCTGAACAATCAGTTGTATGGGGGCTGCAGGTTATAGTGACCCGATCTTTGTTATTTTCACTGTAAGTCTTCTGTTGATAATGAGTGAAAACAGCGCGAAATTTCATGGTCCTAGCTACATAAATGGATGAATTATAACGAAAAATCTCATATCTGAACAATCAGTTGTATGGGAGCTATATGTTATAGTGGTCCGATTCTTCCGGTTCCGACAAATGATTAATACATTATAAAAATACACCCACCTACCAAATTTGATCCGGATATCTCGAAAACTGAGAGACTAGATTGCATACAAACAGACAGACAGACGGACAGACGGACAGACGGACATGGCTAAATCAACTCAGCTCGACGTTCTGATCATATAAGTATACATTTTAATGGGTCTATCTCTTTTTGTTCTGGTACTTACAAACATCGGACCAAAGTTATAATACCATTTCATGCTCATGAAAGGTATAAAAACAAACATTTCTAAGAGGTAAAAGCATATTTAATTGGAAAAGAAAAGAATATTACATAAAAAAACTAAGAAAAAGATTCCGTTCTCCAAGGATTCGTACTCGGATTCCTCGAATGGAAGGCCAGTACTGTGCGCACTCGGCCATTGCGAGTATTGAGGCAGGCCGCACAAAATGATATAAAGTCTTGTTTTTATATTTGCTTTCGAATTGAAATAAAAATGTGAAATGATGCCACGAAAACAAAGGCCGCAACTGGGGCTTCCCGATCTACCAATTTGTACCAAACTCGGTATGATTATTGTGCTTGCCACATAAAAGCAAAACATTGAAAATTATTGGAATCAGATTCAGATTACGACCACTTTTCATATAACGGCAAATTTCAGAAATGCTTGAAACTTCAATATTTCGAAATTTAAGAACGCTAATTTACTCAAAATTGATACACACCGGCTTACCATGTAGCGGTATCTGCGCCGGGTATTTAATGTTCGGCCCCGCCCGAACTTAGACTTTCTTACTTGCTTTGTTACCAATTTATTTTAAAATATAATTCTTTTTAATTTTTTTGACATTTTAAAATACAAAAATCAACAGCAAGATACACGCAGCATGTTGCTTTTGCTCCGGTGATATTACCTGTTCAATTTGACTTGGGTTAAAGGAATAGCAAAATTTCGTATCAGTTGCTACTTTTGTGAAATTTTTTAATTAATTATTAATTTGGTTGTTAATTTCTTCCGCAACAATGCGAAGGTAAAAAGTATTCATTATACATTTATTTCCTACCCACCAACCTTTGCTTGACATAGCTAGCCTTTTTCTTGCAAATACATTTTAAAATCGTTTTTTTTTTAATTACATAATTCTTAAGTTTTTAGTTACTAGCAATCATCTATACAAAGCATCTATCTAATTTTTTCTTGTGGTTTTCCGTTTTTTCAGAGTCCACCTGCGGCATTGAGCAATTCAGATGCAACAATGGCTTTTGCATACCGAAGAGATGGCGCTGCGACCAAGAAAGAGATTGCGCCGATGGCTCCGACGAAGCACCGTCGCTGTGCAGTAAGTTGAGATTGTTATTATAAAGTTTGATTAAAAGAAACAAAACAATGCTACAAACATATTTACACTAACGCACTAAAAATTTAGGACAGACGGACAAGAAAAGGACATAAAATTGGCTTAAATTGGAAAATTTATTAGTTACAATACAAAATATACATTTAAGTAACACAATATACAGTACAAAAGCTTTTAATTAAAATTTAAAAAAATCTCTTTGTAATTCCATTATCACTACAACTACACTATTACCTAATTCACAGTGAATTTATGCACTTCGTTCGAGGTGAAGTGCAAGAATGGCGAGCAGTGTATACCACGTTTGTGGGTATGCGATGGCAGTAACGATTGTCGTGACAAATCCGATGAAGCTGATTGCAGTAAGCAATTATTTTCAATTTATATATGAAAGAAATAATAAATTGAGAACTAAACTAACAAAAAAAAAAAGCAAAATTTAAAAAAAGGAGGATTTTACATTGCAGAATGAGAAAGTACTAATAAAAAGTAGTTATAATATTATAGCTATGAAAATTAAATTTAAGAAAAAAATATAGAAATAAGGAAATATATTTCGCTGCATGCAAAGACATATTTCGGATATTTTAGACCATCAGATGCATATAAAAACTGGCCAAATCTCATTAAGAAGCCTCTCTAGTTCATGTTTAAGCACAAGAAAGTGCTTTCATTTATTAAAGCATCATGCATTTGTAAATATGTACAATATTATATTTTTCAAACTTACTTACATAATTACTTTTTTTAAGAATACGTTTTATTTGCTGCCCAGCATATGTGCCCGTGCATTAGGATGGGTCAATTTGTATCGGAGATTTGTTCAACTATGCGTAATTCTATGCAAATTTGTCGAAGAAACCATGGGCCTAAAATCAATTTGGAGTTTGCCAAATTGAGAAAACAGGTTCCATAGCATTTTGCGGTAGTGCAGTAAAGAAGTGCTTAAACTTCCAGCAGAGGGCGCTACAATGAAAATTTGGCATTTTCTTCGAAACCTATTTTTGCAATTTGACAAACTCCAAATTGTTTTTAGACCCATTGTTTCCTCGGCAATTTAGCCTACTGTGCATACACATACTCATAGCTCCTGCGTATTTAAATAGAAGATAGTATTAAAATAAATGAATTAAAAAAAACATAGCATTTCGCGCACAAAACTCGAATTTACGCCAAATCACCAGCGACAGCATTTTGTCGTCATTTAACCGACTGTATCCTGCATAAGACAAAGCCACAGGATGCGCCTCATAATGCGGCACATGTTAGGCGAAGACGAACGGACGACGGATGTCCGTCGCAAGGCGAAACTTGCGTTGCTGGATAGAGCACAACCCCAGCCAAGTAATCAGCCAACTAACCAATACAACAAACAATAATAGCAAAAAAAAAAACATCTAAATACGCAGTAGGCTCTTATGAGAGCGCCAAAGCTGAGCATTTTCGCTTTGTTAAGCGGCTGCTACTGTCGCGTAACTGGAGCTTTTTCTTTTTTTTATCCAGCAGCATTCCCTATACTTGCACATACACACACACACACACACACACATGCTGCAAGCTGGCCTAATTTGTATTTATTGTTATGGAAAAGTGGCAGCGCTATAATGTAATCGCAAAGCCTTCATCAGCCTGCGCGCACACGTACAAAAGAAAATACATACATACATACATACATACATATTCGTGCGTTATGTCGAAGTGGTTGGAGGGGGTGGAGTGGTGGTTGCCTGCGTGTGCGCGACTTTTTGTTAGCTCATTTGCTCGTGGTTCCGTTGAAAGTTTTATGCTTGGGTTTTTCAACTTCTGCTTGTCATCTTCCATTGTTACGTATTCGTAATTGTTGTTCTTGCTCCTATTTGCTATTTCTATGGCGCGCCAAATGCCTTGAAAACATCTTGAGTAGCGATTTATACACTGAGAAAATGTGATAAATTATAAATTAATTTTTTAATATGATATCTTCATACATATGTACACACATTAGAAAAACTTATTTAAATGGCATATATTTTTAAAAATTTTCAGAAATGAATGCACGCAAATAAGTAACTAATTAGTATACATAAACGGAAATAGAATACTCCATGGATTTGAAAAAGTTAGCTCGTATATTTATTATATGGCCTACTAAATTTTTCATGTCCCGGCCTAACTAGTTCTCAAAGAAATTAAAAAAAGGTAGAATAAGTATCTGAGCGAAATTAATGGTTAAGATGCATATAGTCATGTTTCATGGGAAATATTTTTGTAGAACATTTTAACCCATTAACTCCCGCCTGAAAAGGTCGTCTTGACCCTAACTTCAAGAAATCCCGCAAAAAGCAAATTTGCAAGCTCTTTAGAGGATTGATTTATAGTAGAAAACTATTTTTCGGAAAATTTTACTAGTGGTATTCTCAGGCAAAACCTTCGTGCCGCCTACGTAAACGTCTCTAAAAAATGTTAATGAAAACTCTATGCCAGGAAGGAATAACAGCCAAATTAAATTTTAAAATAATTTTTATAGAATAAAACCAAGTTTTTTGCTGCTCTTAATAGGAACTTAGCAGATAGTATTGTGCTAAATACCAGGTTATTAGGACGTGTTGTGGAAATCGTGCCAATACATACAAAAATCTCGACATTGAACATTTTACTCGTAATATGTTTACGTTCCATTTTTTTACTTTAGCTTGGCTTTACTTTGCAAAAATTGTTAAAGCTTGCATAAGGTGCAAACTTATTTTAGTATTTTCTTTCTTTATTAATTCTAAAAACTAACCGTTTATTCAATTAAAATATTTAAAATCGCACTGTACTCGTATTTTGAGCAAGATGGTTTGAATAAAAGTAATTTTTTTTGTTCTTTCTTTTTACTATATATCGAGTGGCCCTTTATTGCGTTAAGTTACTGGGTTTTCTGCTGCTTTTTCTAAGAAACTAAACGCCATTTGTTTGCAGTTTGTTGGTAAAAAGGAACAAGAAAAACAAATTTAAATACACTTTTCCAACAGGGAGATGACTAAGTAGTACAATGGATTTGTATATGTTTACTTTGTAAGTCATGAAAGGGTTAATAGAACTCGTTGGTCGTGAATGGGTTGATTCACGAGACGTACACAGTAATTCAGGCAACTGTCTTTTAACTCATCGCAGCCTTTCGAGGACAAAAGTCTTTCGTAATACAATTGTCAATTCTAGAAACTAACTTCAGAGCTCCTTTCTGTCTTTCGAAAGACTAATTGAAAATTTGCTAACGAGAAAGTCTTGGCATCATTCTGTTTATCATTTAGCAATGTTTTCTAAAACTTAATTAAACAAATATTTTTTTTCTTTTTAAAACTCTAAAAATTACCAATTAAATTAAAAAAGAGAAAAATTAATTTAAAAGAAATATAAAACAAATTTTTAAATATTGAAAAAAAATCTAAAAATTTAAAAAACAAATGATTCAAAATTGAAAAAAAACAACACAATAAGTCCTTAAAAACTGTTTTAGTTTTTAAATAATAAAATCTAAAAATCAAAAAAAAAGTAAATTAAAAAATTTAAATGAAAAAAAAAGAAATTTTTATAAATGAAATAAAATTTAAAAAGAAATAAAACTCAACTTAAAAAAAAAGCAACAAATAAAATAAAAACTAAGCAAAAGGGCAAAACATAAATTTCTAAAAAAGAAATGAAAATAAAAAAACTATATTAATTAAACCACTATAATTTGAAAATTTAAAGTAAATTAAATTAAGAAAATAAATATAAAAAAAAGTTCTTTTTAAAGCAATAAAATCTAAAGATTAAAGCAAAAAAAACGAAATTTACAATTTAAAATTAAATAATGAAATAAAATAAAAATTTAACGAAATTAAAATATATACTTTTCCCCTTTTAAAACAATAAAAACTTAAAAATAAAAGAAAATTTAATTGAAAGATGAACCAAAAAAATTTATTTAAAAAAAGAAAAACTTCCGCTACCTGCGGTCTTCATTCACGAATCTCTCAGCCAGAGCTTCGCTTACTCGGCCATTGCGACTGTTGGAACTTGCGAGCAAAAGGGTATACAAACAAGTGCCTTCTGTCAAAAGAGCTTTTCTCCACGAAAGTTGCAAGGGAGCTTTTTAACGAGTCCTTCGGGCCAAAATAAACAATATCTTTCAAACAAAGTATCTTGCCTGCTGTCTTTGAATTGTCTTAGAAATAACTTTCAACTATCTTAGCCAGAGTTGCCCTGTTAGTCTACATTACGCTATTCTTAAGGTCTTTAATGCAAATATGTAGTAGATAGTATGATTTTGCAGCCCTTTTTAATTTCGCACAAAAAAAGTGCTCACTTGACCTCTTATGCATAGGTAGCCTAATTCATTGGCGGATTTTAAGATATATATGTTTTTTTTTTTATTAACGAGACCTAATTTACTGTATCTACGTGGCTACCACTTTTAGGAAAAATCGAAAAACCCGCTGCTAAAATAATTATAATAAAATGTTGTCGTTTTTTGCAACTTATAATATGGCATTTTTATCTGATTTAAAAGATTTGTAACTTATAATAAGTTAGAGAGACTAAAAAATTACACGTACAAAATTAGGCAGTTATAGGCACAATCTTTTTTCCAAAATTTTGTAAGAATAAAATTTTACCTTATATGTAAGCTTTGAGAAATTTGGCTCAAGTAAGCAACGCAATATTGAACTTCTTTGCTTATTACAAAAATACCGCTATCTGGGTGGTGGACGTGGTTACTGGACGAAATTTCCAACATTTTAATACACACTTTATAGCATACCACGTCCATTCCCCAATACTTTATAAGTTGCTGAAATATGGCATTTTTTGCCTTTTTCAAAAATACCGCTATCTGGGTGGTGGACGTGGTTACTGGACGAAATTTTTCCCTCCATTCTGAAATTAAGTATATCTAAGAAGAAGGAATCTATTACTGTGCAGCTAAAATTAGCAGCGTCATAGCGCGCAAGCCTTTCAACTTAATTTAATTATCCAAA